GGCGTGTCTGAGACGATCAGGAACATCTAAAGACATCGCGGCCTTGCGAGCAGCCTCGCGAAGCACGTGCTTCTGGGCGTAGGCGACTGCGGCCGTGTCTCCGTCAAACGAGCCTCGAGCCACGCCGCCCGTGCCAATCTCGTCGCGAGCGTCGTCTGAGAGAATCGACCTTGGCAGACGAGGCCCCCCTCCCCCCCCAAAAAAAAAACATGGGACGGCGAAGAACTTCCTGTGAGAAAAACTATTTTTCGCTTTAGATGAGGCGTCTTTGCCCAGGCCCCCATATCTCTCACAGCGGCCGTTCTCATGCGGGGCCTCCAAATTACAGATGTGGCGGGGTGCTCCGAGGTGTCCCAGGCCCCCGGCGAACGACCCAGTGAAATCGGCACCGCCGTCGCTTGCGATGACCTCCAGGATTCTGCAAGGGCGAACCCAGATACGACAGAAAGCAGACCAGACATCCTGAGAGGTAGCCCCCGGGAGGATCGCGCGCGACTGAAGATTCGACCCGCGGTCAATGATGTTCAGCACCCTGTCGATCAACTTGCACGTAGAAAATATCCACCGCCACTATATTGTTAAAGCGATGCGCTCGAGGCAAGCGGGCTCGCGGGCGCCGCCAAGGGCGCCAGTGCGAGTCACGGGCTGCGCACTTAAACCTGGAACGCGCCCACAGCAGCACGCCCCCCCTGGCCTTCCCGATCTTCCGAACCCGAAGGAACTCAGGAAGAGTAGGGCGTCCAAGATTAAATTGCAATTTCTCAACTTCCCTCTGGAGCCCCCGGGACAACCGGGGGCCCGCGGGATCACATTGGGGCCCCTCCAACTCGCCGACCTCGTCGGCACGATCGTCTCCTGGGACCCCATTCGAAATCCAGATCCTGAATGCCCCCTTGAGGAATCTCTGGAGGAGAAGCCGCCTGCGGGCAAGAATGAAACAAGTTCGCCACGCCGGAGAGGGCGCCCGCAGCCTCAGCCAGCTGGCACGATCGAGCGCCTAGAGAGGCGCGAGACCAAGCGGCTGCCTCGATGCCCTCGGCGAGGGCGCTCACGAGCTCAGGTGGTCAGTGCTGGGCTGCCCTCGTCCTGCCCGAACCCTCCAGTGGCACATGCACAGAATCGCCCTTGCATTTCCTGGAGCACCAGTCGAGAAGATGCTGAGAATTAGAAATGAAAGAGGTGGGCTTGCGAGAAAGGCCCTAAGGGGAAACCGACAGCCCGTGCTCGCACTGATCACAGTTCGTGGTACTCACGCCTGATCTTTCAGCCAAAACACGCATCGAGCAAGGTTTCCAGGAAGACGCCGACTGCGGCCAAGCCAAATGAGCCTGCCTTTCGATATCTGGCACTCAGCTTTCTGGGCGCAAATTCCGGAGAGAAAGAAAGAAAGACATACTGAAAGAAAGAAAGAGAGAAATACCCCCCCCAAAAAAAAAAACTCCGCATGCGTGATCTTATCTGGGCTCATTCTGCGCCAGTTACTCACACGCGCCATGCTAAAGGCATGGCGCATGGTGGGGCCATCAAAACTATCTCGGGGTGGTCTAATTCCAGCGTATCCCCAGGCCTACGACGATCCAGGACTTTCCGAAAATCGATCCCCGTCTCCAGGTCCATGGCCTGGGACACGGGACACCTCTCCTGCTGAGCTCGTTGGGGACCTTAGGAGGGGGGGGGGGCACTTCTAAGACCTGGGTACTCCCCCCGTCGACGCATCTCTCGATCAGCTGCTTGCGGGCCCTCTTACGGGTGGCCCTGATGCTGGACCCTTCAAATGTTGTCAAACAATCACCTCCCGAATCTTTCGGGGCACCTGAGTTGCGGGAAGAGAGCTGGAGCGATCCAAGGAGACGGGAGAGGAAACTAAGGCCCAAGACGAGGAAATCTGAGAGGAGGTCCAGCTAAGATCTTGCAAGGCCCCGGCGGACCTTTCCTGCTCGGCTGCTGCCCCGAAATCTCAGGGCAGAGCGCTAAGGCCATCTGAGGCCGCCTCCCAGACTGCCTCGCAGTTGTCGTCGCTGAGCTCCCGAGAGGGCCGAGCTTAGGGCCCGGGCCGATAGCCCGCTCCACGGATGATCCAGAAGGACTCGATGATGAGAGGGTCCGGGTCTCTCTTCGTCGGGGCTGATCCCGATCTGCACCCTGGCAACGTCGGAGAGCAGCCCCAGCCTGCTGCCAAGAGTGCTCCAGCTTGCGATAGCGAGTTGCACCAGAAAAGACGAGACCTCGCATGACTCGAGCCGGCGCCCCGTCCAGCCCGCCATCTCTGAGACGCAACCCAGATCAATCGAACTGCTGCCAGACATATTCCAGACTCCGAAATGCCTCTCGCGCTCAAGCGGGATGGGACTGCCCCGAGACCGGTTGGTGATCGTGGAGACCGATCGCATGGAGATCTCCTGCTCCTTGGACATCCCGAAATGATCCTGAATATCCGATGGGGTCCGATCCTGAACCTCTTGCTGCAGAGAGGCCAGCGTGAACGAGGTGGCACTCAACGCATCACCTCCCGGAGCACCATCCGCACAGCCCCCTCCATGGCCTTCGCATTATCCGAGCGCACCTCCTCGATGATGGCCTCGCGAACCTCCTGCGCCCACTGCCACTCCTGGGCGAGCACCTCCTCGATGTTCTCCAGCATGCTGCTGACGTCGGCGCGCGCGATCCGAGCCGACGGCGGCGGCGGCGAGAGTCCTGGCCCACGTCCCGCTGGCAGGAGTCGTCGGCGGTGACTTGTGCCCCGAGTCCGGGCACGGCGGAGGCAGGCTCGACTTCGCGGCGGTCTGGCGCGTCGGGGAGCTGCCGCACGGAGGAGCCGCGGCGATCACCTCCTGGTCCTCCTGGGAGCTCGGACCCTTGACCTTGGGGACTGCTTCGCGTGCCCTGGACGGCGCCGGTCTGACGCGGTGGCTCACGTCGCGCGGCTGCGGCTCTGGCTCCATCTTGACATCGAGCTTCTCTTTCTGGGCCAGCACCTCGGCCTGCATCTTGATGACGTTCCTGTCCTTGCGCTCCTTCCCCCAACGACCGCGGGCCTGAGCTGCCTCGAAGATCCCCCGAGGGGTCTTGCAACGAATCCACAAGCGAACTTTGCATGGACCTCAGTGGGAATAGTGGGGAACTCCTTTCTGTCCGTTGCGCCGGCGGCGAAATGGATGCTCGCACTGGCTGGAGCCCTTGGCAGACGTGCCCTCGTCGAACCGGCCCGGACCCACCGCCGGCGAAAGTGGCCATGATCCGAGAGTTGGCGCACGCGTCGATGAACACGATCGTCCGGAGGAAGAGGCGGCGCCAGGCCATCGAGCTTTTCTCGATGAAGCACCGAACTTCGATGAACACCTCCTAGTCCGCTGGGTCGAGCATCTCGTCGCACTGGATGTGCTGAAGCTCCGCGTCGCGCCGCGGACCTGGGATCTCCCCCCAGTTCTCGTTCGTCTCGAGATCCGAGCACCCCTCCTCCTCGACTGCGGAAAGACCCGCCACGGCTTTGCTCGCCTGGCGCCTCAGAGCCGACAGGGAACAGGGACATCGGCGCAGAAGATGAGTCGCCGCCTGGAACGGCTTCTTGATTGCGCGAGGCGGCATCGCCCATCGGTCTCGAGCAGCACTCTGGGTTGACAGGAGAGCTTGAAAGCTGACTTTCCAGATTGCTGGCTCGGCTTGAGCCTAGAGTAGCTAAAGAGACTGACGGCGATGTCCCATCTGCGACCCCCGATCCGTGGACCCGCTGTCGAGACTGGAAAGGAGAGGAGAGAGAGGGGGAACTCTGACTGGCAACTGCCGCGCACTGCCCCCCCCCACACTGTCCTGAGTGATGAAGGGCGGAAAGCGGCGGGCCGGGTCGTCGCTGAGCCCGAAGTCCTGGGGCGGGAGGCCGACGCGGGAGACGGCTCGATGTCCAGATGGAAGATGAAGTTCAAGACCCCTACGCCCCTCACCAACTCCGACCGACATCGCGCCCGCATCCACGTCGACCTTGGCCTCGAGAAATACCAGAAACCTCGCGGGCAAAAGCGGGGGACAGGCGCGAGGTAACATTCAAAACTCAACGACCCCGCAGCCGCACATCGCGACTGGAACTGACGCTCGCCCCACTGGCTTGACCGTTCCCCCCACTCCGCATGCAGGAGGAAGATCCGCCGCGTCGCATGAGACAAGAACCTCGTAGCCCAAGTGATTCAGCGCCTTCTGAAGATGCTCGAGGTTCGGCTTCCCGGCGAGTGCGGATCCCGCGGCGGTGCCCACCAGAGCGCACTCCATCAGATTGTCCAAGGTCAGCTCGCGAGAGACCTCTGCCAGCACGAGTGCGAGCTGGTCGGCGCCCTCCGGCAGCCAGGCGCCACCGGCCAGACAGTCGTCGCACCTCCGGCACTCGTCCTCCGAGGCGCTGAGGAACGAGAAGCCGTCGATGTCACGCACATTGAAATAGAAACTTTCGTTGTTGTCTGTCTTCTGAGCTGACTTCCGTTCTTCTTTGATGCGATATTCCTTCGACTTGTAAGGGTTGCGGCAATCTTCCTTCCAATGACCTTTCTGACCGAAGTTTGTGCACCGTGACCTCTTTTTGACCCCACTCTTGCCGATCTTATAACGGCGACGATCAAAGAAGTTACGGTCGATCCTGCGTGCGTTCTTCATTTCCTTTGACTCCTTCCACGTGCGTTTCTTTCTCGTCTCGACGAGCTGAACAAACACCTTATATGCTTCATCTTCCCAGAGATCCTGCTGATCCAGACCCACCAAAAAACCCGCGGTTTCCGACTCGCTGAACTCCGTGTCGTAGATATCTGCTTGTACGTCGGAGCTCGTCTCGGGCTTAGGCCTCGATGTCCTGCGCCCGCATGAAGGCCCTGCGCTCCGGAGGCCTGGAAGAGGAAGCTGCCGCGGGTAGAACCGTTTGGCCAGTCGAGACGTCCAGCTTGAGAAGTGCCGATCGGATGGACATGATATCCTTCTTGCCGGCGGCCAACGTGACCAAATTGATTCATTTCTGATGAGACAGTATCGCGCCCTCTTCGTAATATCGAGCCTTGATCGAGTCCGCGAGTGTAAGTCCGGCAGTCTCTGCCTGCAACATGTGTCCGTCACGTCGTATGACGTAATCCGTGATGCTTTCTCCCTTTTTGATAACGTAGTCGAATAACGTTTCGTTCTGCATCTGCCGATCTCTGTCTCCTGGACGCTCGCATGAGAGCAGAGTTAGGTGCTCCACTATCATGTCAACGCCAGACTCTGTAGCCAGCGACAGCCTGATCGTCTTCAACTTGGCCTGGAGGTCGAGAGGCAAGGTCTCGAGCACTCGATCTGCTCGTAGATCGGCCTTGAATGCTGTCCTGCGCGTCTAGGCGCGCAGATTGTGAATGGTAGATATCCAGATGCTGCATGCCCTGCCAGGTGGGAGGAGCCGAGTAGTCCCTTGACTTTTCTTCCCACGAGTGAGACCGGGTGTTCGTCCACCATGATGCTGACCGACATGAGTCCTCGCCCCCTCGCTCGTCCTTTGACCTGCTGACGTCGGAGAGTGTTTCCTTCCAGTCGCCGAGCTTCTTCCAGTCCTCTGACTTCCAGGAGGCGTCGTCGTCGTCCTACTTCGAACTTCGCCCCCAGTTCGGAAACCACTCCCACACCAGCTTGGCGGTCCAGCCCCAGCCTCTGGAGCCCCACCTGTCGCCGTCGTCGGGCTGGCCGGTCTCTGGCTTCGGGTCCGCCGATCCAGCAGCATCTCCGCTCGCCAGAGCTTCTTCTGCCGGCCCTTGAAGCTTCTCTGCTTCACCTTCGCCAGTAGTGATGAACGTACCATGACCTGATTGCCAAAGGGTCAAACCCATGAAGCCACGGATCTGAGGTCCTTGAATATGATCTTCCCCAGGTCGTCCAGACTCCAGCGTCATTGTCGGTGCCAGCTGTTCTGTTCGGTGCCCTGGAGCGGGAAAGATCTAACACTATACCTTCACGAGGATCTTCACTAACCACGCTCCGCGTACCACTGTCAGCATCGCTAGGCATCGTGCGACCGATACGATGATATGTTTAGTCTCCCTCACTCGAGAACGCCTCTATGAAAGCTGGCGAAAGCCGAAACGGCTACGCAGTGAAACTGACTAGACAATGTCTGGCACATACTGAGTGTAAGGCGCACACGACTTAGGGGGAGTGGGCAAGGAGAAACAGGGTCCACTGTGATGGCCAGCTACAGAACGGCAACAGAGGCCTGAAACGTAGCTATCTGATAGCTCGTAGCGCCAAGACTGAGGCAGTCGGCATGTGTCAGCTAGCATGCGCGCCAGGCTGGCCTTGAATAGCAAAGCCAAGACGATCACATGCAGGCAAACCGACCTCAGCGCCGCCGGCGCCGCCGTGGAGCTAGTTCATTACACCGGCACGGACGTACCAGTGACTTCTGAGCTGGGGCCACTGACAGGTGGCAAGAAACTCTTCTGCGCTGCAAAGAAAGAGGCTGGTGCCCACGGTGCCAAACGTCGGCAAACCGTTGTCTGTAAGTGTGCTTCTTGTTATGTTCTCTGCTGCTTCTCGTTCGCATGGCAACCATCGGGCAAATGTCACTCCCCAGCAAACTCTCGGGAATGATAGACTTCGCAGATGTCACACTCCCCAGCAGACTCTCGAAAATCATGGACTGTTGACCCCGCGTTGGGACGCGGAGCCCGTCCAGACCGCTGCGTGCAGGACGCCCGGCCCTGCAAAGTTGTTGTGGAAGTTGTCTGGAGTTGCTCTAACAGTGGTAGGTGCCCGTGTACATGTCACTGAGTTAGCCCCCGGGCCGTGGCTGTCGCGGAGGTAGTAATGGTTGTCGAAGTGGCCGTAGGGCCAGCGGCGGTCGCAGGTGAGGTGGTGGCATTGGCCCAAGTGGCGCAGAGCGCAGCTGCGGTTGCGAAGCCACCGTTCGGTGGGTCTGGGACGGCCCCGCGAGCCCATGAGGCGCAATAGCCTGCACCGCGCCCTGGGAGGGCAACGCAGTCATCAGAGTGCCAGGCTGCATTGATGCAATCATCGCATTCTGCCAACAGGGATCGTTGGGGCCCAGATGTGGGACGCAAAAATGCCACAGTCAGCTGGCCGCATCGGTGCGGCCAGGCTCGAGGGTCCGCCGTGGTCGGAGCTGGCATTAGAACAGCCATCCAGGCTGGCTTCAGACCAAATGTCGGAGCAGGCGTCGGAGTCCCCTGGAGGCGGTGGAAAAAAGTGAACAAGAAACGGAAGAAGATCACTCCGTCAAGGCTCAAGGGGGGTGGGCTAGGGTCAGGGGGACGTAAAGGTGGGGTAGCGTCAGAGGTGGGGCTTGAGGAAGGTCGCTCCAGACGGCCCCTGAAGGAGGGAATTATTAGCTTCAAGCTCAGCTCGCTCCCTGAGGCCCCACCTTGGGATGATCACCCCTTTGCTCGACAAACGCGTTCCACTACTCGTAAAGTAACTGCGCGCAAATGGCCTGGATCCGCCATGGGGGATTCACGGCACACTGCATCGAGGCAGACATGTGTT